TCCTTTTGCATCGTTGTTACAAGCTTTGCAAGTTAAAATTATAAACAAAATATATCTAATAAAAAGTTTCGTGAGAAGATACGAGCTATTAGTCATAATCAAATTTGATTGCATAAAGATGTTGTAATTATTAACAAGATATAAGTATTAGAAGTCTTGTAATTTGCAACAAGTACTGTACATTGTTATAACTGTAGGTCAATAAGACACTGGTCATTCCTCCAATACAACATATAATAAGAAATAAATCAATTTGTTTCATAATGATAAACGTATTTTTAATATATTAAAATAACGACATTATAATACTTAACTTTATGTATAGTTTCTAGCTGTTATAATGATTATGTGAAGCAATTATTTTTTTTATTTTATTACAGACAGTAATTTAAAAAATGATCCTTCGCTTTAAATTGTCTTATATATTGTTATATTTTTCACTTTTGGATAAAGCTGACAGTAAGTGTAAAATGTGATATAACAATAAATAGAATATTTATATAAAAAATTAACTTAAATTTATTTAACTCGTTTTCTATTAAAAAATTTAGTAAAAGACTTATTTATACAAAAGAATATTATTTTATTATTGGATAACAAATTAATTTTTAAATTTTTTTAAATGTAAATGCATCTATTTCGCATGTTACTTTTGCTTTCCATTATAAATTTTTAGACATTAATATACCACGCTTATAAACAAATAAATGCCACAGAAAATGTTGATTCCGACAATAGATTTGATTGTAATAAAATTAAAAACATTAATAAATAATATAAGAATATTACTATTAATAATAATAATAAAATACAAGAAAAATGATAATAACAAATAATACAAGTTGTTAAGAATTAGCACCATCCGTGGAAACAGGAAAGCAACAAATGTTATTATACAATTCGTTTTGTAAATATTTCATGTATATTTTTCAGAATAACTACTTTATTCGCTATATCTCTAACTGAATTACTATAATCAATTAATAAACTCCACCATACCGTTAAAACTAAGCAACTAGGTATGACGAGAGTAATAGTTTCATCCCCAGCCATGCCGAGGCTATTCGGATTTGCTAAGACACATAAATCTGAAAGAAGCTTGAGGCCAGTAGTGGATAAATGCTGTGCTCCTACGATATCATTAGAGGAAACTTAAGAAATTTATTAATGCGAACATGCCTCCCCACATTTATAACGTAAAGCAGCCATTAGAAGTGCTCTAGAAGTTGAAACAACTGAAAGTTAACGAAACAAGCTACATGACAGTTCTCGATTTTAAGGCTATGTACCTTTCAATTAAGCTTGAACCATGTTTTTGTCACTTAAAAAATTTTACTTGGGCAATATCGATAACGCAGCGAAGTTAAGACAGCAAATCCTAGTACTGGAGCATTTGGCTACATTCTCGTTACTTTCCGTTTTTTGACGGTACTACATACTCGCATCTTAGAGGATTACCAATGGGTAGCCCGGTCTCAGGCTTACTGTGCGAAATGGTAATAAGATCTCTGGAAAATAGCATATTGCAGAAATATGAAGATAATATGATAATGTATGCAAGTTACGTCGACGACGTATTTATTATTTGAAACGATAAACCAGACATACGCCAATTTATTAGAGATATGAACAGCAATGCGTATGGCTTAGAATTAGAACTAGAGCAGCAAGATCATAAAAGGGTACATTTCTTAGATATAAGGGTCGAAATAGATGAAGAAGGGCAAATCGCTACAAAAGTATATAGAAAGCCGACGAATGTTTCGGATTTGATACCATGGTCCTCTCATGACCCAACAAGCTACAAACTAGCAGCGTTTAGAGCACTGATTAAAAGAGCATACACTCATTGTAGCAAGGTATATGACACACGTAAAGAACTTGAATACATCGCAAAATTAGAAAGAGATGTAAAACTTAAGCAAAGTAAAGTAGAAGCCGTAATACAAAAAGCAGAAAAAGGATGCAATAAGACTGGAGATAAGAAAGAGAAAAAACAGTTCACCATAATAGAATACAGGGCGCCGTTAAGTAACATATACAGAAAAATAGGAATAGAAAGCAACAAGAAGATAGCATATAAGAGAAACACGACAATATACCAAATGCTAAAAAATGACAAAACACCCGTAGACTGGAGGCTAGTTCCAGGTGTGTACAGAATACCGTTGCATGATAAAATGCTGAAAAAAGACCTATATTATATTAAAGCCACAAATAGATCATTAAAGGAAAGATTGGAGAAGCACGAAAAAAATATAAGATTTAAACAACCAATCACAACTTTAGCTAATTATGCGATTAGCTAAAAACGAATCCTACAGAGATTGCAATCTAATGGAGCAAGGCAGATATTATACAAAAAGTTGAAAATAAACGACATCTGATATATATATATATGACGTGAAATTGTGAAAAGAAATGTAAAAATCTGACAAAGTACTACTGGCACTGATGCAGAAAAATTATTAATAAGTTTAATTAAAAAAAAAACTGGCCACGACTGACTCACTTTGTTGTTTTTTATTCATGTTGTGATAATAAAATCGCAATCTTAAATCGAAAAATTATGAGATGGCGTTTTTATTCAGCTGAAAACTTAACAAATGTTTAACTGCCAAATGTAGAAGTTGATAGTTATTGAACAAAAGTATAGCTACAACGTGAAATGATATATACATACAATAAGTTTAAATTCGAATTATCACATTTTAAATAAATTGCAAGATGTTATAAGATTGCAAGATGTTTAAAGAAAATTGCGAAAAATTGCATAAATTCTCTGATAATAGCAAATAGCTGAAAAAAAATTGCAAGAGGTTGCAAATGGTTGCGAATAGTTGCAAATGGTTGCAAATAGTTGCAAATAGTTGCAAATGGTTGCAAATAGTTGCAAATGGTTGCAAATAGTTGCAAATGGTTGCAAATAGTTGCAAATGGTTGCTTAAAGTTGCAAGAGGTTGCAAATGGTTGCAAAATAGTTACAAATGGTTGCAAATTGTTGCAAGAGGTTGCAAATGGTCGGAAATAGTTGCAAATGGTTGGTTAAAGTTGCAAGAGGTTGCGAATGGTTGCAAATAGTTGCAAATGATTGCAAATAGTTGCAAATGGTTGCTTAAACTTGCAAGAAGTTGCGAATGGTTGAAAATGGTTGCAAATGGTTGCAAATAGTTGCAAATGGTTGCAAATAGTTGCAAATGGTTGCAAATAGTTGCAAATGGTTGCTTAAAGTTGCAAGAGGTTGCAAATGGTTGCAAAATAGTTACAAATGGTTGCAAATTGTTGCAAGAGGTTGCAAATGGTCGGAAATAGTTGCAAATGGTTGGTTAAAGTTGCAAGAGGTTGCGAATGGTTGCAAATAGTTGCAAATGATTGCAAATAGTTGCAAATGGTTGCTTAAACTTGCAAGAAGTTGCGAATGGTTGAAAATGGTTGCAAATGGTTGCAAATAGTTGCAAAACGTTGCAAATAATTGCAAATGGTTGCAAATAGTTTAATGTGATTGAAAAATCGGCACTCTTTTGGTGTGCTGTCAGGATGACACTATTGCGTTTCTGCGGTCACAAAAGCCGCATTATTTAGGTCACGCGAGCAACCGCGTAACAAAGCTCTCAAAGTCAAAATATACAAAAAGTCAGCGCACCGAAAGTAATTTACATAGATGCTTTTTTTACGTAACAACTGTTTGATAATTAATGATAAACTAAACATTCAGGCTGCTTTTAGATACATTTCTCTTAGTATAATTAGATATTTGATGTCTTTAGTATAAAAACATTAAGATATTAAAATACCCGATTTGAGAGAGAAAGTTTACAGATAGTTCGCGTTGCGATAAATACCTTGAGTTGTTGGTCGTCTTGATTTAGATTTTTGAATTGAGGTTTAAAGTAAGATCTTAAAAGTAAAAGTTGGATAGTTGAACCGGTCTTGATCAATAAAGTTCTTCTAAAAACCGTGGAAAGAAATGTAAAAATTCGACAGAGTACTATTGGCACTGATGCAGGAAAATTATTGATAAGTTTAATGAAAAAAAAACTGGCGACGACTGACTCACTTTGTTGTTTTTTGTTTATGTTGTAATAATAAAATCGCACTTTTAAATCGAAAAATTATAAGATAGCGTCTTTATTCGGCTGAGAACTTGACAAATGTTTAACCTCCAAATGTAGAAGTTGATAGTTATTAAGAAAAATGATAATAACAAATAATACAAGTTGTTAAGAATTAGCACCATCCGTGGAAACAGGAAAGCAACAAATGTTATTATACAATTCGTTTTGTAAATATTTCATGTATATTTTTCAGAATAACTACTTTATTCGCTATATCTCTAACTGAATTACTATAATCAATTAATAAACTCCACCATACCGTTAAAACTAAGCAACTAGGTATGACGAGAGTAATAGTTTCATCCCCAGCCATGCCGAGGCTATTCGGATTTGCTAAGACACATAAATCTGAAAGAAGCTTGAGGCCAGTAGTGGATAAATGCTGTGCTCCTACGATATCATTAGAGGAAACTTAAGAAATTTATTAATGCGAACATGCCTCCCCACATTTATAACGTAAAGCAGCCATTAGAAGTGCTCTAGAAGTTGAAACAACTGAAAGTTAACGAAACAAGCTACATGACAGTTCTCGATTTTAAGGCTATGTACCTTTCAATTAAGCTTGAACCATGTTTTTGTCACTTAAAAAATTTTACTTGGGCAATATCGATAACGCAGCGAAGTTAAGACAGCAAATCCTAGTACTGGAGCATTTGGCTACATTCTCGTTACTTTCCGTTTTTTGACGGTACTACATACTCGCATCTTAGAGGATTACCAATGGGTAGCCCGGTCTCAGGCTTACTGTGCGAAATGGTAATAAGATCTCTGGAAAATAGCATATTGCAGAAATATGAAGATAATATGATAATGTATGCAAGTTACGTCGACGACGTATTTATTATTTGAAACGATAAACCAGACATACGCCAATTTATTAGAGATATGAACAGCAATGCGTATGGCTTAGAATTAGAACTAGAGCAGCAAGATCATAAAAGGGTACATTTCTTAGATATAAGGGTCGAAATAGATGAAGAAGGGCAAATCGCTACAAAAGTATATAGAAAGCCGACGAATGTTTCGGATTTGATACCATGGTCCTCTCATGACCCAACAAGCTACAAACTAGCAGCGTTTAGAGCACTGATTAAAAGAGCATACACTCATTGTAGCAAGGTATATGACACACGTAAAGAACTTGAATACATCGCAAAATTAGAAAGAGATGTAAAACTTAAGCAAAGTAAAGTAGAAGCCGTAATACAAAAAGCAGAAAAAGGATGCAATAAGACTGGAGATAAGAAAGAGAAAAAACAGTTCACCATAATAGAATACAGGGCGCCGTTAAGTAACATATACAGAAAAATAGGAATAGAAAGCAACAAGAAGATAGCATATAAGAGAAACACGACAATATACCAAATGCTAAAAAATGACAAAACACCCGTAGACTGGAGGCTAGTTCCAGGTGTGTACAGAATACCGTTGCATGATAAAATGCTGAAAAAAGACCTATATTATATTAAAGCCACAAATAGATCATTAAAGGAAAGATTGGAGAAGCACGAAAAAAATATAAGATTTAAACAACCAATCACAACTTTAGCTAATTATGCGATTAGCTAAAAACGAATCCTACAGAGATTGCAATCTAATGGAGCAAGGCAGATATTATACAAAAAGTTGAAAATAAACGACATCTGATATATATATATATGACGTGAAATTGTGAAAAGAAATGTAAAAATCTGACAAAGTACTACTGGCACTGATGCAGAAAAATTATTAATAAGTTTAATTAAAAAAAAAACTGGCCACGACTGACTCACTTTGTTGTTTTTTATTCATGTTGTGATAATAAAATCGCAATCTTAAATCGAAAAATTATGAGATGGCGTTTTTATTCAGCTGAAAACTTAACAAATGTTTAACTGCCAAATGTAGAAGTTGATAGTTATTGAACAAAAGTATAGCTACAACGTGAAATGATATATACATACAATAAGTTTAAATTCGAATTATCACATTTTAAATAAATTGCAAGATGTTATAAGATTGCAAGATGTTTAAAGAAAATTGCGAAAAATTGCATAAATTCTCTGATAATAGCAAATAGCTGAAAAAATTGCAAGAGGTTGCAAATGGTTGCAAATGGTTGCAAATAGTTGCAAATGGTTGCAAATAGTTGCAAGAGGTTGCGAATGGTTGCAAATTTGTGCAAATGGTTGCAAATAGTTACAAATGGTTGCAAATTGTTGCAAGAGGTTGCAAATGGTTGCAAATAGTTGCAAATGGTTGGTTAAAGTTGCAAGAGGTTGCGAATGGTTGCAAATAGTTGCAAATGGTTGCAAATTGTTGCAAGAGGTTGCAAGAGGTTGCAAGAGGTTGCAAATGATTGCAAATAGTTGCAAATGGTTGCTTAAAGTTGCAAGAGGTTGCGAATGGTTGAAAATGGTTGCAAATGGTTGCAAATAGTTGCGAAAGGTTGCAAATAATTGCAAATGGTTGCAAATAATTGAATGGTTGCAAATAATTGGGAATGGTTGCAAATGGTTGCAAATAGTTTAATGTGATTGAAAAATCGGCACTTCTTATGGTGCCTTGTCAGGATGACACTATTGCGTCTCTGCGGTCACAAAAGCCGCATTATTTAGGTCACGCGAGCAACCGCGTAACAAATCTATCAAAGTCAAGATATACAAAAAGACAGCGCATTAAAAGTAATTTACTCACATGCTTTTTTAACGTAACAACTGTTTGATAATTAACAATAAGCTATACATTGAGGCTGCTCATAGATACATATTTCTAAGTATAATTAAATATTTGATGTGTTTAGTATAAAAATATTAAGATATTAAGATACCCGATTTGAGATAGAAAGTTTACAAAAGGTTCGCGTTTCGATAAATACCTTGAGTTGTTGGTTGTCTTGATTTAGATTTTTTAATTGAGGTTTAGAGTAGGATCTTAAAAGTGAAATTTAGATAGTTGAACTAATTTTAACTAATATAGTTTTTCTAGGAAATGTGGAAAGAAATGTAAAAATTTGATAAAGTACTATTGGCACTGACGCAGGAAAATTATTGATAAGTGTAATTAAAAAAAATACTGGCCACGACTGACTCACTTTGTTGTTTTTTATTCATGTTGTTATAATAAAATCGCAATCTTAAAAATTATATTTGATTTTTAAATATAATTTCATTTATACCGAAATTCGGCATGAACAATAAATTATGTGAATAATTACTGTTCCGTTGAAACGTTTGAAATCTATTCTATTGTTTGAAATCCGGAATTTTTTCCGATTTTTTTCTTTTTGATTAATTTCCCGTATTTTCCTAAAACCTCAATTAAATTTATATTTAAACCTAAGCTAACTTGAAAAAGGGAAAAAAACTAATCTCCTGTTTCGTTCAAAGTAAACATCCGTCCACTTCGAAAATAATCCCACATTCTAACTCCAAAGTTAGCGTGGTCCCGGGGACAACTTTGATCATTCGCTTACCTTTTACCTCACAACAATTAATCATATGACCATTCACCCACGACGAAACTATAAAAGCCACTTGCTTCCCTCTCTCGGAAGAGTCGTTTATCAACCAGTTGATGTCCATCAGCTGGTTGATAAACGGTTGATAAACGACTCCCCCAAGAGGGGGAGTCGTTTATCAACCGTCTAGTGTCCGTCACCTACTGTTTCTTTAATATTGTGTCCTGGTCCTACAGTTTCTAGACCTGTTGGATGACTACAACCATAAAGAGGTATAAAACAAAATTTCGTGAACACTCTCTCGGTCTCTTCGCGCCTTAAAAACTTAGAAAGTGTCCTGTAAAATAGCTATTGTACCCCGCATATAGAATTAATAAATCGTTGTTCCTTTGTTAAAAATGTGTTTCCTCGTTTACTCGTATATCGTCTATCACTTTACCGACGGCACTCATCCTTCCTCCACTCGACCCGAACAAGTAGATCCCGTCAACGCGGGATAAATAAAAAGTTTTGCCATCTTGACAGTGAGAAGGTTTAACGACCTGTCGCCGGGAAGGGAGACCTCTAACCTCCCTGGCGGTTCAAAATAGCAACAAATGTTTAATCATATTAAATTATTATATCTGAATATCCTACTTATGGCCTTTTAATTTATAATAATTGTAGCTTCATTTTGAGTATCTGACTCAGAACGATTGCACGAACATTGCAAATTAAAAATATAATTTTTATATAATATATTCTATTCGAAAAATTTCTTATAAAAAACTCTCTATTAAATATTAAATAAATATTAACATCTTCATTTATCTTTAAGCGATCCATTTCTCGCATATTGGTAGGAATATTGTCCACAACGGAGGAATCTCAATCGACGTCGTTCATCACATTACCAAGCTTTTTTTTTTTTAAATAAATACGAAGGACTTTCAGCTCATTTTCGTTTAGCCCATCCAATATAGTTTCAAACTCTTTCACCAATCTGAAATATTTCTTTCTTTCATCTTCCAGTTCTTGCGTAAGTGTCATTAATGTATTCAAAGTGTTTTCGGCTTTTTTGTAGTCGTTCTCTGTAAACACGCTATAAACAATAGCAGAGCCTGTGAAAGTTATATCCCCTGCGTCTATCAAACTGTCTCCTACACGCTTCAAAGTGTCAGATACAGCTTTGTAGTTAGAAAAAATCATGGCAAATATCAAACAGATGTATTCAGTGATGGCACTTATTACTCTTATTATCATACTAATGTATGTTGCTTTTGAAATTTCTAATGAATTTTCTATCTGCTTCATTATATCTATCATCTCGGCCGATTGTCTATCCCATTCGTGATAATTTTCGTTTTAAAAACATTGATACTTTGGACCTTCTCGAACGATGTTTCGAAGCGAAAAGCTGATGATTCTGAAAAAGAAAAATAGATTCAATATTTGCAATTAAAGCTAAATCATTTAAGATTAATTAGTCAAACCTCCGAACAACGTTCGCTGACCGTTGTTAGGAGGTTAAATAAAGTTATTGCAATTTTTAGAATTAAAAAAAAAAAGTCACCTGAAAGCAGGATCGAGCCTAGATCGCCTGCACGGCAAGAAAGTTCGCTACAGACTCAACCAACTTGCTGTACTATCATAGTGTACAATTGATCGGTATATGAGCTTAGCATAAAACTTTAGAGCCTTTTGTTCTTGGAATCTTCTGGCTAGTGCGCTTTACAATTCTTCTGGGTGGACATCCTTGAGGTATACTACAAACCTGCAAAGTCTCATCCCGAACTGAATTTCCGAGACCGTAAGGTCCCCTTGTTAGTCAAGTTTTCAATTGTCGGAGGGCAAGTTTTCAGGAAAGGGTTGGTTAGCGAGTTGTCCCGAACAAATCGAGACAGGTATGCCAACCGAAATGCACCCGTTAGAAAGCCCAGCTTCAAATTGGTTATCCAAAGGATTTAAAAATTAGATATAAGGCAACGCGACCGTTGGTACGAAGAAAAACAAGCCTACCTAAGACTGCGTTGTTAGAAGCAAGGAAGATATATTACTATGAATTTTATTGTAAATATAAACACATTTAACTTTTCTGCAATATTTAAAACCAAGGTCTAAATAAAAAGGTTGGAACAAGTGATTATTTGCGGCAGCGGCTATTTTGGGACTTATCGATAGAGTTCACTCCACGTGTGGTTCCTGCGTGAATCGTCTATATTATATATATAAGTACTTTTAATTTAATTTAAAGACTGGGTTATTGTGTGACACGAAATTGTAAGAGAAAATCTACAGATGTTCGATTATTTAGATTTCTTGCAGATAAGCGGAAAAAAGCAAAATGGGTGCGGAACTGCAAACGGGAAAAGCGGCAGCAAACTGAACATTCTAAACTGTGAGGTTAGTGTATATCATATATTTTTAAGATTCTCAGAAAACATTAAATAATGTTGCTGTTATCTTATATATGTTGAACTTTACCTGTATAAGATTTCAAAAATACTATATACAATATATAAATAATGTTTTGTTTTTCCATTTTAGATACAAAAGTTGATAGGAAAGCAAGAAACAATGGAAAACAAATTTTATTATATTTGTATCTTGGGTGTATACAGAGAAAGAAGTCGTGCCCCAAATAAGCTTTCTTAAAAATATCATGAAATTGTGTTTAATATTATTCTTTTTGATAATATTATTTTTGCTATATATACCGAATGTTTTGTTTTTCCATTTTAGATACAAAAGTTGATAGGAAAGCAAGAAGCAATGGAAAACAAATTTTATTATATTTGTATCTTGGGTGTATACAGAGAAAGAAGTCGTGCCCCAAATAAGCTTTCTTAAAAATATCATTAAATTGTGTTTAATATTATTATTTTTGATAATATTCTCTTTGCCATATACACCGACAAGTGCTCTCTAAGATATTTTATTAGAAATTGATGTAAAATCTCTCTCTACACTGAAATTAGGACATAGATCAGCAAGCACAGGTATCGTGAGCTGCATAAGGAACTATGTCGTCTTATTTTATTTACCTGTGTATATAATCGCCTCTTATTGTATAAGAATAATGCATTGTCTAGATTTAAATATATATTAAAGTATTTTGTTATCTGTTAATCCGTCAACCTGTTTTATTCGA